ATATTATGCAGTGACTTTTTAATTTAAAAATTAATTTATCTTTGCTATTGTTGTAATTGTTTTGGGGGTAAAATCTAAAAAAGTATAATTCATATTAATGCTGTATAGACTTTCACTTTTTTCTTTTAGTAGTTTTATAGTTTCAGGTCTTATGTTTAAGTCTAATCCATTGTTAGTTGATATTTATTTGTGGTGAGATTAAGGGTTCACTTTTATTATTTTGCACATATAAAAGATACAGTTTTCCCACTACCATTTTTTGAAGAGACTGTCCTTTTTGTGTTGTATAGTCTTTGTGTTTTGTCAAAGATCAATTGACTAAAGATGAAGTAACTGTAACTAAGCTCTCTTCTGGGCTCTTTATTTTGTTCCTTTTGTGGATGTGTCTATTTGTGTGCCAGCATCATGTTGTTTTAATTACTATTACTTTGTATTATATTTTGAAATCAGATAGTGTGATCTTTCCAACTATATTACTGTGTGTATATGATTGTCTTAGTTGTTCAGGATTTTTTTGTAGTATTTTTTCTCTATAAGATTTTTTCCCTTTATCTGTGAGAAATGACTTTGAAATTTTGATGGGATTACATTAAATCAGTAGGCCACTGTGGGCAGAATACACATTTTAACAATGTTAATTCTTCCAATCCATGAAAATGGGGTGTATTTCCATCTATTTGTGTCAGGTTCTTTCATTAATGTTTTATAATTTTAGTGTATAGGTTCTTCCCTTTTTTGGTTTAATTTGTGCCTAAGTACTTTATTTTACTTCTGTAGCTAGTGTAAATGAGATTGTTCTCTTTATTTCTGTTTCAGAAAGTCCTTTGTAGTATCTTTTTTAGTATTCTATTCTGTGCACTTAGCACATTGTTTTTTCTATTCCCCAGTTGAGGGAAATTTATGTTGTTTCTACTGTTTGGTGATTACAAATTAAGCTGAACTAACTATACACTTTCCTAAACTGTGTGAGTGTGTGAGTGTGTGTGTGCATATGTGTACATGCACATAGTTTTTAAAATCTCATTTGAATAAATGCCTAAGAATCACTTCTTGATTCATTCCATGAAGTCAACATTACCTTATATGACATTTAGGTAAAATACATCAAGAAAACTATAGATTGGCAGTAGTGGGAAACTTTCAGGGGAGGGAGGTGGGATTGGCAGTTGAGGGAAACTGCTAGGGGAGGGAGGGACATACCTCATCAAGGGTACCTGCATGATCAATGTTTGTATACCTAGCCCTGAATTGTACCCCACATCTTTATAATAAAAAAGAAAAGAAAACTGTACGTTAATATCCCTCTTTAATGCATGTGTAGCATTACTAAAACTACTAAAAAATGAAATCCCTCAGTATACTAGAATAATTATAAACCACTATTGATTACAATTTATTCTAGAATGCAAAAATGCTTTAACATGCAAAAATAGACCAATATAATAAATTCACATAAGGAAGGAATAAAAAACCATGTTCATGTTATTAATACAAAGTAAATATTTATTAAAGTTTTACATTCTTTATGATGAAAAAGCCCATAAAGTTAAGAATAGAAGTGATTTGGGGAAAGCCGAGGGGCGATATGCAGGGCCTCAAGGTGTGGATGAGCAGAAAGCCTGGTGGCCCACCCTTGCATTTGTTTTTTCACGTAGTGGGTCCACTGTCTTTCCTGTGCTTCTCATTGCACCCATTGTCTGCCAGTCATCCCATGTGAGTACTCTGGAATCTTCAGACTAATTTTGCTTAAGTTTCTGTCTATTCCATATCATGTGAGTTTCCTTTTCTATAACTCATTTCTATTCTCTCTACTCCATTCTTTAGATGAACCACAGAGATAGAAAGCTAAAAATTTATGAATTGGTGCTTTTTTCCTAAGCCTGCAGATACATTCCTGTGGTCATCTCCATAGGTGTGTTTTTTCATTTTGAGTTTTGGTTCTTCACTGGCATATCCAATCCCAGTAACTACTTTTCTCTCTTCTCTTCCCCCTAGACAACTTGCCACTTCGCTTGACACTCCTAGTAACTAAAGGTATTATATTTACCAATTTCTGATACACATGCTACTATAACTTATAACTCTTTACAACATGTGTTCTATTCTCTAAACCCTTATAAATGAAATCTTGATTTAGATATTCATATATCTTAACCTCCATAGCATTTAAAACCAGTTCTACTATCAATGTTTTACAGACTGGGAAACTGAGAATTTTAGAAGTTATGTTACTTCCTGAAATTACATGTCTATTATGAAGAAGATTCAAGTTTCAAATGTAGACATGACTGATTTCAGAATCTGTGTTCTTTAGCACCACATGGTCAGCTTAGAAAAGCTGACCATGTGGTGCAGCTAAGATTATGGTGGAAAGAAAACAAAACGGGAGAAAGAATTTAAATAATTGCCCGAGGACACTCCTGGAGACTAAGGGAAGAGTCAATTCAAACTCTTTAGGCATGATTTTCCTACAGTGATAGACCAACACATAGTAAACAAGCTGGAATTACCACTTCTTCAATCAGAGCACCGTCTGCGTCGTGTTTTTGCTCGTCTTGTTGAGACATCTAGTGTAGTGTTTCATGCGTACCAGTGTACTTCTTACTGAATGAAGTATTTTATCATTGTATCATTTTAACACTGTAGTCCAACTGTTTTCAAATATATCAATGGTGTCCTATTATGAGCTGAGATTATTAATGATAGGTGCAACTTTGTTACTGCTTGTACGTGTATTACATTTCCCACTTAAAATGTATATAGATTGTATACATTGCTTCCTTGAGAAAATGTGTTGGCAATCTTGAATTTTGAGTCACTGAACTGCAATTTTACTGGGGAGCATGCATGCATTCTATTGAAGAAGCTCCCTCTTGAACTAACACAGGTGAAAAATGCCCTTGGGATTTTCACTTACCCTATGCCAACTTCAGTTGCTTTATTTATTTATTTATTTTTTGGAAATAGACATAATATTATTAACACCCCAGTATATGTCACAGAATTGGCTGAAAAAAGCAAATAAGGGAAGGTCTATAAAACAACTCAATAAAGAGTTATCATGCTAACTGCATTCAATACAACTTTTTTCTTAGGGTATTTTCCATGTCTGTGGTTGCAGATTCAGAAGATCATCCATCTGAGGAAAGGTCAATGTGTGCACAACTATTCACATTCAAATGAGTAAATAAAAGGCCTGACTTAAGCCTGTTCTTTCTAAAATTATCTAATAAGATGTCAAACTAGAATCATATTGGCATTTTAGAAGCCAATGAATGGGGGCAGAAACAAGTTTTATCTGTTTTTATTTTTTAATTTTACTATAGAGATGTGGAGTACAAGTAAGGGTTAGCTATACAGGTCGGCTGCTACATGCAGGTGAAATTTGGTTCTCCAACTGGCCTCAGTTCCCCTGGTTTAGGACCATATGCCCTTTGTGCTGTTATGTGCCTCCTTCCTCCCTTCCTCCCGGGCAGTGCCCAGTGGCTGCAGCTCCCTCCCTTGCACTAATATGACTCACTTACGAGTGAAAACATGTGCTATTCAATTCCAGAAAAGAGTTTTAGAGATATGAGGATCTTGAAGGAACAGTAAGTCGTATTCCACCTGCTTAGGGAAGATGCAATTAAATTGCCCATAGAGAAGGAAATTAATAGTACTAAATGCTTACATTGTCAAAAAAGACAAGTCTCAAAGCACTGATGGAAGCTATAGTCATTAAGTAGGGGAGAAAAGAAGAACAAATTATGATTAAAGAAAACAGAAGAAATGGACTGATATGGGTAGAAGAGAAATCAATAAAATTGAAGAAAAAAACAAATGAAACAAAAATATGATTTGAGGGGTAATAAAGCCATACAACTACAAATCTATGTTCAGGAAGACAAATGTCAGGAATAAGCAGGGGTTATTACTATAAATATTAAAAGAAGAGGAATGCCATGATTAAACCGATGCCTAAAAATGTGAAAATTTGAACTACAGAGAGAGTTTTTTAAAGAAACAAAAGATCATAGCTCATTTGAGAACAAATGTATATGACTGTACTTTCAGGAATCATTTCTAGGTTATCACTGGGGAAGTTGCTCTGAATGTGTAACGCATTGAGAGAGAGTGCTTGGATGGGAGCTAATCATAATCCCTAAAGACATAACCCGAATGCCATAAACCTAAATGTAGATATCACAAGAAATCAAGATTCTGAAAATATAATTTTGAAAATGTAATTTAAAAATTATTTAAAGGATTTATTTACATTTTAAAATTTGATTTATTTTATAAGCATATAAAAGCATAATAAAAAGCTTCACAGACCACGTCACACAAGAAATAACAACTCATATTTTTGCAAATATATAAAGGCATACAAATGACAGTCACATAAACCTAAGGGTTATGAGCAAATACTAAACTACACAAATAAATGGAAGTTAAACAACATGCTCCTGAACTATCTTTGAGTCACTGGCAAAAATAAGGAAGAAATTAATTTTTTTGAAATGAAATAAAATGGAAACCCAACATACCATAACCCCTGGGATTTGCAAAAACAGTGTTGAGAGGGACATTTATAGCATTAAATGCCTACATCGAAATAATAGAAAGATCACAAATTAGCAATATAGCATCTCATCTCAAGGAAATAAAAAAATAAGAACAAACCTAACCCAAAGTTAGCAGAAGAAAAAAAAATAACAAAGATCAGAGCAGAACTAAATAAAATTCCAGCACTTCCACTACTTGGTATTTACCCAAAGGAAAATATGTTATTATATGAAGACGACACCTACATTGGTATGTTTATTACAGCAAAATTCAGTTACAAAGATTTGGAAACGACTTAAATGCACATTAACTGATCAGTGGACAAAGATAATGTGACACACACACACACACACACTCACGCACATACACTATGTGTCATTTAACATTTGATTTACGCATGAAGTAGATCTAAAAGGGACAAAATAACTTTCTGAGCATTTTACATCATTAAAAGACTAAACATAGAGGACATTTGCCTTCTCAGCAACCTTTTTGAATGCGCTCTCCACCACTTTGTTCCTCATGCAATAGACAACAGGATTCAACATGGGTATGACCATCGTGTAGAACACAGAAGCTATTTTGTCTGTGTCCATGGAATGACTGGAACTTGGTTGTAAGTACATGATGGCAGTCCCATAAAATAAGGACATAGCATTGAGATGAGAGTCACAGGTTGACAAAGGCTTCCTGTTTCCCTTACCTGTGTGCATCTTCAAAACAGTGGTAAATACAGACATATAGGAAGTCATAATAATGAGAATTGCAAAAAAGACATCAAAGCTTGAAATAAGACCAAGGGTCAGCTCACTAGTGTGTCTGTCAGAACAGGTCATAGTCATGACTGCTGGAATATCACAGAAAAAGTGGTGGATCACATTGGATTTATAGAAAGAGAAACAAAATGTCTCTCCAATTTGGATAGAAGCATTTAGAAAACCAATGGCATAAGAGCCTAGAGCCAAATGAGTACACATACTTTTTGTCATGGTGATGGTATAGTGCAGGGGTTTACACACTGCTGCATAGTGGTCATAGGCCATTGAAGCCAAGAGATAACTTTCCACAGTGGCAAACATTGCAAAAAAGAACATCTGAGCAGCACATGCATTGTAGGAGATAACTTTGTCTTCTGAAAGCAACCCAACCAAAACTTTTGGAGTGACTGTTGAGGAGTAACCAAAGTCCACTAGAGAGAGGTTACTGAGGAAAAAGTACATGGGAGTGTGGAGATGAGAGTCCAACAAGATCAATGTGATCATCCTCATGTTCCCAATTGCAGTGATGAGGTAGATAAGGGTGAACATTATGACGAGGGGAAACTGCAGTTCTGTGACACTGGTTAGTCCTAGCAGGATGAACTCACTCACCTTTGTATTGTTTTTCATGGATGCTATTTTAAATTCACAAGATGCTCTGTAGCAAAAAAGGTATAAAGAAACCCAGTGATGAACAAAAGTTGAAATGTGAAATCATTATTTTATTATAGCAATAATTTGTTTTCATATTCTTTAGATCAAAATTATGGGCATTACAACACAAATTAGTGGATAGCTTATCTATAGAGTAATAGACTTTTGCAAAGAAAGGATCTTAATGGATCATCTTTCCAGTTTGTTGATTTTGTGTATGAGAAAGCTAGTAACAGAAAGGGAATGACGAATTGCCCAAGGTCACATACTTAGAATACATCTTTCACCCAAATAATATCATCTTTGAATCTATCTTTGAATCTAACTTCTTATACTCCATAGTTGTTCTGTGCCATACTTCTCTCTCTCTCTCTCTCTACACACACACACACACACACACACACACACACACACACACACACACACACACACACACATTGTAGGAAATAACTTTGTCTTCTGAAAACAACCCAGCCAAAACCTTTGGAGTAACCAAAGTTACTAAATATGTATATTTAGAGAGAGAGAGAGAATTATATGAATATACAACTATGATCTGTTCTGGCAGACACACTAGTGAGCTGATCCTTGTTCTTATTTCAACCTTTAATGTCTTTTTTGCAATTCTCATTATTATGCTATCCTATACGTTTATATTTACCACCATTTTGAAGATGCACACAGGTAAGGGATACCATAAGCCTTTGTCAACCTGTGACTCTCATCTAATTCATATAATTCTTTCATTAATCCTGTTAGCTGATTAATTATTATGCCCATTTATATACAAAGTATCCTGGTAAAAAAGGGTTTGAAAAAGTTATTCAAGATTATACAAGCACTAACAGACACAATCAGGATGGTTCCCAACCTAAATGCCTTTAATGCCTTTATTGTTTTTATTTCATACAACTTACACTTATCATTGTCTTCATTATATCAAGCTTAATATATGGAGTTGCAAAGTAGAGCAATTCACAAATAAATGCATAATAGATGCAGTGGAATAAGTGCAACAATAAAGTCATGTACAACCACAAAGCCAATTCTGCAGAAAAGTATAGCATTGGGTGTAACATTTAAGACTTTGAAAGGAAGTACATTTGCACTGACATTTAAGCTCTGACATTTACTACTTGGGAGACATTGGTTTTAACCTAACTTCTCTGAATCTCATTTTATCCATCAATAAAATAAAGGGTGGTCTTGGGTCCTACCTCACAGGGTTATTTTGAGTGCTAAATGAGATAATGCATGACAAACAGTAAAATGTGGCCATTTAGCACAATCCTGATGAGTGTTAGCTATAATATTGTTATTAGGATGGAATAATGATCTTTATTTTGGTGTAGGGAAGGTAGGTGGCAACACACTAGGGCTCAAGGAATGAGTAGATTTTGAAATCTGGTAGCTTTATTCTGATTGATGTTTTCTCACACACTACATCTGAGATCTTTTTTGTTTCTTCCAGTATTTTTTACTCAAACCTTCTCCCAAGTGAGTGGCTTTGTCAGCCATTCTGCATGAGAACCTAGAAATCTTCAAGTCCTTTTTTATTTAATTTCTTCTTTTCAGACTTCATTGTCACTTGTGTTAAGAGAATTCCCTTTTTATCTCAGGCTTATTCTTCCTGTCATCACTGTCAACACTTAGCTGGATATCAGGAATTGAGGATTGAATGTTCATTGTCTGAGGTGGTGGGGGTTGATTCTAGCCTGCAGATCTGTACATGTGCAAACATAAAACCTAAAATATCACTTAAGGGAGCTGGAAAGGCAAGCCCGCCAAAACCCAAACGTCAGCAGAAGAATCCAGATCACCAAAGTAAAAGCCCAAATATGAGACATAGAAGACAAAAATACCATAGAAAAAAATCAACGAAGCAAAAAACTGTTTCTTTGAAAGGATAAACAAGATTGAGGGATCCCTAGCCAGACTGACGAAGAAAGAGCCCAAATAAACACAATCAGAAACACAAAAGATCAAGTCACAACTAATCTTGAAGAAATACAAATGATTATCAGAGATTGATAGCAATCTGTATGGAAACAAACTTGATAACGTAAATGAAATGGAGGACTTTCTGACATCACACAACCTCCCAAGGTTGAAACAAGAAGAAATTGAGATCCTAAAGAAGGAATTAATACCAATCCTATTCAAAGTATTTCAGGCAATTGAGAAAGATGGAACTCTCCCTAAATCATTTTATGACGCTAACATCACACTGTTACCCAAACTGGGTAAAAACCCAACAAAGAAAGAGAACTGCAGGCCAATATCGCTGATGAAAATAGATGCAAAAATTCTCAACAAGATTCTAGCTAATCAGATTCAACAACATACCTCAAAAATCATCCACCATGACCAAGTAGGCTAAATCTTTTTATTTGAATTCCTTGATAGCCACTATTATCTATCATCTTTCTCCTATTCCCAGCACCTATCACTTGACATGTGTAGAGTTTTGATTATTTGTGTTTGGCAAACAATTACATCATAATATGAGTTATAATTTTAATTTTTGGTATGTTTCTTATGTCCTATAATAACCAAAATTTTCTCATTGGGTCCACCTGCACAATAATCCTGGATAATTTTGCCATCTTAAAGTCTTTAATTTAATCTCTGTGCCCAGTTCTCTCTTTTTGGGGTCCTGCTCCCACCGGGTGTGGGATTTCCTGAAGGAGAGATAAATAGGTGAAAGAAGGAACTTATGACGAAAATAATATACTTGGACACCTGCTTGCAGGCCCAATGCCTGCAGGACAGATGACATTTAATGTTAGTTAACAGAAAGTTTTTATACCATTCATAAAGGGGCAAGACAAAGGAAATTCCTTCACGTACATAGCCTTTAAAAGTTACCACCATCTAGTGGTCTAGAAGCAACAAACAAGCCAAGAACACTATCTGCTTTCAGTCAATAAGTCTTTTTCATAAAACCAAAAATGATAGTTTTGGCCCAAAGTCCCAAATTACAGTCCTTGAAATGTCTCAAGAAAGTTTCCAAGTGCACATTTCTCCATGTAACAGGAGTTTTCTCTCTGGGGCTTCTATGACCTTCAAAACTTGGTAATCGCCTTTCTTGTCCAGGTGTCTTTGTTACTTTTCTCTTATCCTGCAGTGTTTATTTTTAAAGGAAACTCAAAAGAAGCTTTTAGTGATGTTTCCCAGGCCCCAAGGTTGCTCTCTGTAGTTAGTTAATTTATCATAAAAGTATCCAATTAGTATATTATGAATTCAGTGAAAACCCACTCTATAAACATTAACTTAAAATTTTAACTATTGAATTAAGTAAAAACCTTAACGATTAATCTTCATCCTAAATCTGTGAAAACAGTGTTATAAATCACCTACATAACTCCTAGATAAGTGTTAGAATTTATAATGAATTAATAATGAACTTACTATAAACTTGTGCTTCTAAAAAACCTTATGTCTAAACACTAAACTACATAATTCTAAATCAAATAAGGAGTGAATATACTTATATCATTTTTTACTCAAGCAATATCTAGTAACTTATAACCAAGTGACAGAAAGCATTCTTGATGTCCTTCAGAGTTTAGTGGGAAATGGAAAAATGAACCATGACATTTCCAGGTGAGCTGTGAATACTTCACGTAAACATGCCATTTTCTTCTTCCACGACTGCACAGAATTCTTCGGCCATACCAACAGCATAGACGGAAGACAGAAGGGCCTCAGCTGCCCCAACTCGCTTTGTGGCCAGGGGTCCTCAGTGCACCTGGACTTTGTCAATCAGGCGGGCCTCCAAGGCTGGCTCCCAACACACTCTCTCTCTCTTTTTTTAACCGTGTAAAGTTGCATATTCATGGATTTTGAAGATTAGAATATGGATACCTTTTAGGGCCATTATTAAGGCTACCACACTGAGTATGAATACAAAATATTGTAGGTAAATTATCTCTAGAGTTAGAGTTTGTTGAGAATAAGACATCTTCATCATGTGACCACTTCTTATTTACATATATGAATCATTAAGAGAGCAGAAAGAAGTATAACTTGCCAAGTTTACATGTATGGAATAAATTAATCTCTTAAAGCAGATATTCTGATGTCAACAGCAGTTTGACTTTGTGCTTATGATCTAGTTTGTTTCATACATGAGAGATAATAGATGATAGATAAATCAATAGATAGAGATAGATATCAGAGAATGGGGAGAGAATATTTATGCACGTAGACATATAACCTATTTACTTCTAAAAAATGGAGGATTGGAAGATTTTGTGCTTTCCTCATATTCTACATTTAGGAAAAAAACTCATATCCAATTTATTCCAATTTCTGTGCCTCCAATCATGGCAATGTCAGATTTTCTAGATAAGCAAGTAATGAAAAGTGAGATTGTGGGGAAATGATAGAGAAAATGGAGTAAGGACATTGGTAGCTTCATAAGAATCCTTCTGGAGTCTACTGAAGTGACGTTGTACCCGGTTTTAGTGACTATCCCTTCAATGACAATCCAACATGTAGTAAACCAGATGAATGTGCCACCAACTCTATCAGAGCATCATCTATCCTAGGTTTTTTTGCTATCATCTTAAGGGAAGCAGTATGGCATCTCATAAACATCACTGTACTCTCTGGAGATTAAATGTCTTTACATTTGAATATTAAACCCATGTCTATGTTTTAGAAAATGTGTCCAAACAAGCAGATCTATTCTCAAAAGTTCACATGAGAGGAGATGTTAATGCCACACTGCTTCTGCATCATTACATCTTTCATTGAAAGTGTAGATCAAATATAGAAACTTACCTTGCTTTTAGAAAAGAAGAAAGAGGCAATTCTGAATTGTGAGTCTGAAATCAGAATTGTGTCCTTGGAAGAACGCATAAGTAATGTTGGGAATACTTTTTTCATATTCTTGTCAAAGAAGGTTCAAAGTTCCTAAAGCATAAAAAGATGGATAAAGAATCATTAACACGGAGCTTGAAAGCTTGGGT